GCATCCCTGGGCCCCCTTACCCCTGCTACGCCCTTAGGGTGGTTAAGGTGCGATGGGCTCGTACTTAAGAGGAACGATATAAGAGCCATTTTCAAAAGAGTTTCGTGAAAAGTTGGGACCAGCTTTGCTCATGACGAGTACAAGAAGGCGTCTGATGGACTACAGTTCGTACCTTGACCGGGTAGAGGCTTGGCACTGAGTCGCAGCGCAGTGTATGATGGATCAGTACTGACAAAGTACTGCAGGTTTGTCGTTGGTTGGGTTGTTTTGAACGCCGAACTGTTCGGTAGTTCATTCCTTTGTAAAGATAGCTGTGGGGAAATAATTGGACGAAACACTTTAAGCTAACTTGATGGTGACAGCCATGACAAGTAGATGAAAGCGTATAATTGTAAAAAAATGACCGACAAGCGCGGTTACTGACCAACTGACACACAGACTTTTTAACTTACTGACTAGCTGAGTAACTGACAAACAGACAAACTGTCTGACTGACTGACAGATGAATTGACTGATAGCATAACTCTGCCTGATTGATTGACTGACTTACAAACCAAATGACGGACAGACTGACTGACTGATTAACTGACTGACTGGCTAACTGCCTCGCTAAGTAGCTAAATTGCGGTCTAACTGATCTCACCAACTGACTGTTTCTGTAAATGACTTTCAAACTCTCTTGCTTTACTGACTGACAGAATGCATAACTAAAACAATGCGAGAGAAAAACGTACATGTCCGTGCGTTAAAGTAGTGTAAAATTTCCAAATCAAAACCACCAATATTTAATCCATATTTATAAATTACTAACTTTGGTGGACAATTCATCTTGGATGCACCGCGTTAAATGCCGTTTTAAATGCATGCAGCACAGGAACCGCTCCAACGGAGATACCATGACCGATGGGCCGTGCCTCACCGAGCAAGGCACGGGGACTGGGGTACACAATTTGATCAACGCTTTATGAGACAGTATTGTTGGAACAGTAGCAGCCCACGTTCTTGCAGTCAGCGGTCGAGGTGGAGTGGTTGGTTGCTTTAATCCACTCCCTGATTGCATTGGTTGAGGAGTTGGAGAGGGCCTGGGTGAATTAAGGTATAATAAAAACGATCGCAAATGAGATAATTTCAACTCTTAGGATAACCAAATAAGTGAGTGCTTTCAGACAGCCACGCGATCAGACTCTGAGATTGTCTGGGAACCTTCAGAGACACTTGTTTGTTCAAGGTTTTACTCGTAAGCTGATTAAGAAAGGAACCACTGCATGTAAGCTCGATTTTCACCGCTCTCCTTTCGAAGCGCAGGTCCATACCGGGAGAGCAGCGCAAGTCCATACCGGGAGAGCTAGTGGTTACCAAGCCTACGATGAAAGCAGCACTACGAGTTTTTTTAAGGGCCGCTGTCTGCAACTGAGGACCAATTTATATAAAATACTGGCACGTTTCTAAGTTCTCAGCCGATGTGCGCAAAATTTCGCAATTACAATCTTCCGTGTTTAAAAAGTTTCAAAGATCTCAGTGCTAGCGCATTCCGACAGGGTGACGCTACTGCCTAGTAACAGGAGTTGAAATAAAACTTGGATTAACTTGAGGAATTTTTTCACGGTTCCACCAGAGAGGCCTTACAAAAGAGTCGCACCTTTACAAGAGACTGGATGATCCTTCTTGACGTCAAGTACCTGTCTCTCATGGTGAGAATAGATACAAGGGTTTATTTACGAGCAACCTTAAATACGCACCTGTACTTGGAACCCTGGCCGCTACCAGTGTACTGTGGAGACATGGGCCACGACCCTGGTGACGTAACAGGGATGGAATGAGAGAGAGCTGGAGAAGAGCCGCCTAATGACGGAGTGACAAACTGGTGACTGGTAGCCGGAGACAGCACTGGAAGACCGAGAGAGCCGGCAGGAGACGGGGCTAAGCTTTGAGGTGCTGCCGGCGAAGGCTGTAGAAGAGCCGAGAGCTGAGCAGCTGTGGTTCAGAAACAGAGAGATGTTTGTGCGTCCCACAGACGGACATGACCACACTTAAAAAGAAGACGGTTCGTTCTAACGGAATCAAAACCTTACCCTCGTTTTGGGTTTAACCGTGGTTCTTGAGGCACCTTTATTAACTGATTCCAATCATCCTGTTTCATTTCGAAAAATACTGTTCTCTCAATTTGTTTTTTTGTTTGTTTGTTTATCCTTTAGCCAAGGCTTCGTTTTTTAAGGTGAATTCGTCCTTCTGAATATTTCCGAATTTTTTAATGACAAAAAAGTAAAACCTGTGAAAACAAAAATTGTTGTCTTTGCTTTCATTTACTGATCGTCGTTTGCATCTTTCTAAATTTAAGGCATTTGCTCATTAATTTAACAGCCAGCTGATATCGAGGCGAAGTTAGAATTAGTGGAAAGAGAAGCCACTGAACGGTGCAGGCATCAATGTAGACAAAAACGTAATGGATGTTGATTAATTTACGAACGAACCAAACGAGAAAAAACGATAAGGAAAGCAAACAGAGATGATGTCAGATCTGTGTGTCGACTGCAATGTCGACGATTACTGATTTATCAGACAATAAACAGAAAAAAAGTTTTTTAAATGCACAAACATGTATGGTGAAAGACATATTCCAGAAAAAGAGGAAAGCAAGAGTAAAGATAACAAAAAGTAAAGTTTGAAGAGTAAAGAGGAGTAAAAAGAAGCGATGCATTCTTTGAAAATTGAATGAACGAAAAAAATTGTATTGAAGGAGAAAGTGATGGAAGGGCAAGATATGTTGCATTTAGGTACTGCAGTTGGAGAAGATGCTTAGTTTACAGGACATAGTTTACAAATGAATTAAAATCATTAGCTAACTAATTACAATTAGGCTTATAACAATAGTGCTTGACGCAAATTTGCACATACAAGCACCAACCATTTGTGTTTTAAATTTTAAGACATCAATATAACACGGAGAATACATAATGAAATATCTCTCCCTACCAAATCTTTTTTCAGAACATCTGCCACCCAGCAGTAAGCAATAATAATAACTTTTAGTTGAGTTAACACTTTATTTCCTGTTTTTCTTCCCTTCAAGGAAGACTGAAGAGCTTTTTCCGAATAAACAAATCCCTCAAGTAGATTTACTGCGACAAATTTTGATTGCTCGTACATGGGAGGCAAAAATTTTCCCGAGTTTTCCGTAAAAAAATTAGTTTTTGAACGAAAATGCACACCTTTCGTATATCACCAAAGTAATTAAGGATTGTAAATCAAGGAAAATTGGCATAACCATTCTGCAAATGAGCTCCGAAAACAATAAAAAAGAATCCTGCCCCATACATTAACAATTGCCAAACAGAATTAGACTATGTGGAGTCGGTCAGATCATTAGGGAAAAGAATACAAAAATAATTTTTTGCGCAAAGATTATTGTTCAGAAATATCTCAAAATAATTCACCTGGAGAACCAACACCATAGATATTACCCGGACTATGAACATTCGGCGACGCAGAAAATGGCGATGGCACATTGACCGAGGCAGCAGGGGCTTGGGGCGAGGTGCGAGGGATCATGGGTGATGCGGTAAGATTTGCGGTGCCAGGCACCGGCTGTGGTGACGTAAACTGTGCTTCAATCACAGGTGCGTCCGTTTCCATGGTAATAGGCGAGGGAGGGGCCTCGTCGTCTGCGGTTGAAGTATTACGGGAAGTGATTCCTCCGGTCTTGGCAACATCGTCTATGTACATTTGAAGAAAGATCTGTTAAGGAAACAAAAAGGGAAGGTCAGCTTAATGATCTACGAATTTCTCTTGTCTTTATAGTGGTTAATGTCGTCGCATGAAGTTTGCCACTTATCTTTTTCTTCACTGTCTTTTAACAGGGACAAAACATAGGCTAGAAAGGCACAAACATACCTTCAAATTTGGGATTGGCAGAAAAAATCCTCTGCCCTTACTTGGATCCACCACACTGTAGAAGGCATCTGATAAAAAGAGAAAAAATTCACAATTACTTCGAGAACTGTATAAACATAAATACTGACTAACACAGAAAAGTTACATCAAAGGTTATCTAAAAATGCCTTTTTTTCAGAAGCAAAAATTGTTTTAAACGGAATCAACAACCGCTGTAGTTTCTTTTTGTGGCGAGAAAACTGAAAAAATGACAATAGTTACGGAAATGCGATCAAAATTCATCTGCACAATCATAGACCAGATAGGTGAGACTGGGTCTTATTGCTTATCCCGAACAAAAATCCCGGGCTGTTTGTTTGTTTGTTGATGATACGAGTTAGGATCTCTTGCTGTTACAATCGCAATCAATAGAGGACATTCAAGAAATTTGTTGAGAGTTAGTCATACCTCTTATGGCAACAAGATTCTTCGCTTGAAAACGAATTTCCAGAGCGTTACTATTAAGGAAAAGAGAAAGTTAAGAACGTGTTACGATATATTTTAAATTTTGCACGCACATTTCGAGAATCAGCGTGACAGGAGCCTTGATCATTCAGTCTACTGAGAGCGTAAAGAAATTGATAACCACTATCGTGCGAGAATAACTTTGTGTGCGTGACGAAAAAAAAAAACAGAAGAAGAAGAGGAAATGGGAAATAGGAAAAACGATTTTGTAATTCACCGTATTTCGTACTATGAGAGCCAATTGTGCAGGATACCTGTTTCTGTAGACGAGCAGCACATGTGAGGAAGACTGGGGGAGAACGGTAAACTTCCTCAAGGGTGTGAGAGGTCGCTGTTAAAGAAAAAAAACTGCGAGTAGAAAACAACTCAGGTTGAATATAGAAGGAAACACTGAAATAATATATCATAAGAGAAATAAACGTCAAAGAGAGAATAAAACCCAAAGTAACAAACGAGACTACTTAACTCAGACTTTTCGCCCCAGAGTCAAGCACGCTTTCCACTAAGCCACCGCGTTATTTTAGAATCGCTCAGCCGCATGAGCATTTTTCTCCAAAGGCAAAATTTATGAAAGTGAAGATTTATACTCACATAGACCTGTATACCAAGAACTGGATTACTACTGAGTTTTGCTAGGGCCGAGAGTGGTCGAAACGTTTCGTGAAGAATCTAAAGACAGACAGGAAGATAGTTAAATTTGAGTGAAAACAAACGCCCACCATCGCAACTCGTTCTGCATAGTGTGCTTTCCCATTTAAAAAAACAGCCAGGGTTTCGCCAGAATAGACCAAGATTAGTCCTTCGTCGCCGCAAGCCTCTCTCTCCAGGTGATTGAGCGCCGACAGATCATTCGTGGTTTGTTTGTTTGTTTGTTTTGTAGGTGTGTTTTTGCTTAACACCGACTCGCGCGACAGACCAAGATGGGAAAGAGGGACTTCTTGTAGTCTAGGTTACGAGAGAATCAATGAGAGACCCCTGTTATGTCCAAGAAAATAGGACAATAACTTTGGCCAAGACAAAAACCCACTGAGTTCGGGTCAATCTCACTGTTCCTTAAAGCTACGCGCCCCGCCCAACTTTTTAAAGGAAGGAGTTCGGGTCCTAAACATGGACGGAGCACTCTCCTTTAACGATCTTCAATCATAAGAAAAGGCAAAAATTATGTTAAAATGGATCTTCCTGGCATTCCCTTACAAGAAACAAAAATGCTAATCGAAAACATTTTGACTAGAATAACCAATAATTCATTAACTAAAATTCAAGGTACGTGGAGATCAGTTTAATACCTGTATAATATACGGCAGATTCTGATGATTGTTGAACTCTTGTTGTAGATGCCTGGCGGTGTAACTCTGTGGATTTGCACTCAGACTTGAGCCGCAATACCCCAATGTCAAAACAAACTGAGACTGCTCCACAGACCATTCGAAAGTCACCTACGAGAGATAATGAGGATACAAAACAACAAATTACATGAGAGGGTTTCCAAAAACGAAACACGTCATGGTTAGTACACCGTGAGAAAAATTAACGAAATTATTAGTGAAGATCCGTTTGATTCTTCTCCATCCTTACACATCTTTCTTTCTTCTTTATTTAGTTGTCAGTCTTATCGGACTTGCACTTTGAGGTCCTTCTCTACTTTAAAGTAATTTTTGTACGGCGCAAAAAGTTACTTCAAATTTTAAGACGCTTTTCTGTGAAAAGAGGGCGAAAAAAACGGTCACCATTTATCGTATGGAAATTAGGTCTTATCATTCATTACTTACCAAGCTTTGTTTATCAGGGTCGTACTGTAGTGTCAGCTGTTTGTAGTCGTAAGAATAAACACGGCACATATGGCGAGAATGGCTTTGTGAATCTGTCAAAAAAACCAGCAAAATAAGTTGAACATAACGCTTTCGACAGGAAGCACGAACACACGAAAACGTTTCCACCTCTCGAAATTAAACCATTTGGTTTGAAGCTACCAAGACATTCAATCATATACAGCAAGATTAAATCAGAAAGATCAACCAACCTTTAAGAAAAGTATCCAGTTCCACGGCATGTCGGTACAATTTGCAAACACTATACCAATCATTCAAAAGCTTTCCAACCACAAGTTTTGCCCAATCATTGTCACCTTCCCCACCCTTGTTGTTATTGACGTTGTGAGCCTTCCCCTCCTGAATTTTATATTCAAACAACACATGCCGGGTGGGGCCCTTTTCGTTCGCTGACAGTCCCTCTAGTGGACAATTATCCATAATCATTTCCAGGAGACAGGTTCCTTGTGACTCATCAGGAAGTCTCAGCACGCACTCCAAGACACTTGGCTGTGGGGCTGGAACCAATGACGCGTCACAGTCTCTAGGGAGGGGTAGGTTAGACAATCGGACAGCTAACCCGACTCCAGCCTCTGACGTCAGGTCTTGGTCGATAATCTTGTGTCGGCTCAGCTGAAAATAAACAAGGTAAAAAATTAGAAAAAAGAGAAATAACAAAGAGAGATAAAGAGAAAAAAAGTAAAAGGAAACATAAAGATAATTACCGTTTAGCATGACGATTTGAAAGAGTTTCATTTTGCGGGTTGGAAATATTTTTTGTGTTAGCAGTTCGAGATCACTGACATTTCTGCTGGGAAACATCTTTTTCTGTTTTCATTTCAAGCAGCAGAACTTCAACGCGATAAAAAACATAATATTTTCAAACTTCCGAACCCGTTAAGTAATGCAAAGAGGAATTACAGAGTGGACAATTCGAAGATGAATATTTCGAGTGAGTCCGACTTCAAAATGACTCTTCATTCGCATGCAGTGTTTTCCAGTGACGGATTGAAGTAAATTTTCGCAAAGTCTTATTTGCAGAATTAGTTTCTCTGCAGGAACTAACCTTTGGCGGATCTAGGAAAAACCGAATCCGTAATAATAATTATAACCCGTGATTCTTTTTATGTTACAGGTTATTACTTTTCTCTGAGGAGCTTCATCTAATCCAGAAATATCAGTGTAAGTGAACTTACCTCCTCGCGGAGCTGAATGAATGGTATTCTTGCGTGACAAATAGCAACCACATGACCCATTGTCGGTTGATAAGTAGAGTTATTTCTTCCTTCTTCTAAAACATCTTTTAAGTTCTTCTGTTTCTTTTTACCATGGAGTTCTTCCTCTGAAGAGTCGAGCTAAAAGACAAACGGCAAACAACATTTTTCTTTACACATCCATCTTCTACCAAGAGTAGGAGACGTAATGGAGCCGACGTTCGTGTGCTAGAATTCTAGTTTTGAGGCAGCGTCTCGTCATTCTGTTCAGCTCTTGGATGAGACACTTGGCTCTGAGTTCTAAATAGCTCCGTGTCATTTTCCTCTCTTTCGACTGGTTCTTTTGATAACCTTAGCAGCCAAAACATGCGAAATTCATTTGCGAAATCGAAAAGATGAATTCTTAAGGAGGTACTGGGGTTGACGATACAAACATTGTCGAAATCATGACTCAAAATGTTTTTGGTATGAAACCAACACTTAAGGAACATTTACCTTTCGTTTTTTTCCTTCATCGTCTTTACGGCTGGAAAGAACACCTGCTTGGGCCATGAAAAACAAATAAAAATAGTTGGAGTAATTTCAATAAGAATAAAAAAAAAAAATAGATATGAATAAATAAATAAATTAACAAAATAGCAATAAAACTACCCAAAGATAGCCTTCCAGAGAAGACATAATGAAAGGGATAAACAAAAATTGTGTTACTTTGAGAACAAGAAGAGAGTGTGAGGATCGAGCATATCATATGTTATGGTATTGATCCAGTTTCCAAAGACCATTTTCTATTTTCTTGTGTGTGTTTAACCTCTTACACACTAACCGCGCCATCCACGTTCCTTTTGCTCTTACTTTAAATAATTTGGTGTCTTCTTATTTTATTGAATCAATATTTTGTGCGTCCTTCAGTTTCTGTCGAATAAAAAGGCCTTGAAGTACAATTCCGCAAGTCTTTCCACGTTTTACCTTCAAGCGGTGTCCCAGCGTAATCCGTCATTTTTGGGGCATTCAAGGTGACCATGTGACCAGCAATCAAAAAGATTGCGTGTCTTCTCTTGTTATTTTCTGCTATAGCATTCCTTGTTCCATCGCAGCTTTGTCTTGTTCGATCTTGGCTCTTTCTTCCCTCTTTCTTGACCTCAACTCGTTTGGGTTTTTGATCTCCACTGCCTGTGTCAGTTGATGCGCTCGCCTCATTTGCTTCATCGCCAAACGTAGGTTTCACTTTTAAGAGATGATACTTTGTGGTGGCTTCTTCCGAATCTTTGTTACAAAGTACTTCGACCACCTAAATTGAAGTGAAGACTACTTTCATTTGTTGTGATTTGCCTTGAGCGCGATTCGTGTTAACGCGTGATCTGTGTTAACGCGCGATCTGTGATAACGCGCTATCTGTGTCAGCGCTGAGCAACTTGAACAACCCATGTCTCTTTCGGCTTACAACTATCATTAGTTGGTTTCACACCTTATGTAACTAAGGCACTAAGGTTTCTTCAAAGAGTTGGTAATGTTACATTTCAAAACGGTTCTCACAAGTTTCCTTTGAGTTGCAACCGGAGTTCGAGGAAGAACGACAAACTACAACTGTATATGCAACTACTTACACCACGCAAGAATTTCGTGTGATCGACAAGCCAAAGTGTATTTATTCATGTAATTACCCTTTCCCCCTAAAAAGCGTAAAAGCATCCCAATATACTAAGACAACATTTTATTTTGGAATAGAAATCACTAACCAGACAGTAAGACGGATGGCGGCGGAACTGGATGTAAAGTTTATGTTTGCTGAGCTGGGACAATTTGTGATCTGCTAAATTCACTACCGGTAAAGACAAGGAGACAGTGACGGGAAGATGAACTGTGGATTTCAGGTATCTCTGCACATACAGCTGACATCTGTAAACGAAAACCGTAGGGCATTGAAAACTGATACAGAAGTAAGCATTGAGTATGTAACAAATTGAATGACTGACTGACCGACTGACTGTCAGATTGACTGACTGACTGATGAGCTAACTGACAGACTGAGACTGACTAACTGGTTAGCTGACTGACTAAAAGTGCTGAGTTTCTGAAGAAATTGTGGTGCTGCTTTGGTGCAGCAGCTGTGATAGCAACAACCAGGGTGATAATTAAATGTCATACCTTGCATCTCTTAACACAGTAATAAATTGATCCAAATTTGCGTTCAATGTGTTTTCAAGCTCTGTACAGACAGCGTTATCTACAGAGGAAAATAACCAAAGAGAAACAAATTTGTAAATCAAGGACTTTCATTACTTTGTAAAACATTAAAATATACCCTATAGAATGCTCTCTTAGCAACTTTGAACAACCATAACATTTTATTCCTATGATATCGTTAAGGATGGTGCAGTAGTATGATCACTCATCTTAAAAGTTTCAGCGGGATAAACTCGTACAATGAGTGATATTGGAAAAGATCTTCCCTTTTTTCTTTTGTTTTTGTTGTTGTTGTTGGTGTTGTTTTCTTTTTGATATTTTTTTTCATTCATTTTCCTGGCGACTTAAATGTCTGATTTGAAAAGGCTCACTTGTTTTGCACCAAACGTTACTCTCACCTTCCCCATTACCCAGTGACACTTGAAAAATCCCGTTCCTCTTTCCAACCGTGACAATTAGAATCTCTGCAGGGGTGGAGTTAGGCATAACTTGTATCACAAGACTTGGGCAAAAGTCATCTAGTGTGACTGTGACGAAAGAAAAAAAAAACTTGTAAAGCAGTTTCATAGTTGGTATGTAGTGATAATGTAATTTTCTGTGGGCAGTTCATGAGCTAGGGCAGTCGTAGTCGTAGTGGTCTAACAGTCAGTGCATTGGACTCAAAGTCGAGAGATTTGATTCGAGACCTGGCCAAGTCAATGTGTTTTGTTCGAAGGCGAAGCACACAATTCCTCCATTTGCTAAGACGAAGGGTTAACGCTCGAAATGACAGCTTTTTAACTCTTTACGGTGGCCAATTTACATTATCAACTCAGTTGATAATACTAAATTACACTGTTACACTCTCCCACCAACGCAGCACCACAGTTTCTTTAGAAACTTACCCCTTTTACTCTCAGAGTGCCTCTCCCCATCCAGAGGTATAAATGGGTACTGACGATTTGTAAGGGAAGCCTAATGAAATGCTTGGGGGTAAGGGGAGTAGTGCCTTATGCTCCTTGGAAACTGGAATAAGCTTCGGCTGGATGGACCAATAGGCTCGAGTACAGACTTCACCTTACCTCTCACAATGTAAATGTACATGTAGATGTATGTGCTAAACCAGCGAAATATACATGTAGGCGCAAGAATGTATTTTTTGGTTCATAGTTTCGTGTTAGGTGTTTAGTTTTTCGTCTTCATTAGTTTCCTTTGACATTTACCAGTTTTGTACTTGTTATATTTATTTGCATATCGTATATATTCTGTTCGCGCGTAATTTATTTCGTTAGTTGTCTTTCCTAGTTTGCGGAACATATCGTCTAGTTGCTTCGGTTTTCATCTTTTCGTCTTTTAGGTTTTGGTCACATTCGTCTTGTAAGTTTCCTCGTTTATTTCGCTTTGTTATTGTCTAGTACTTTTCATTACGGATATTGTAAGTTATTTTATGCTATTCGTGTGTTAGTAATTTTGTTATTTTCAGTTACCGTGTTCAACAATGTGTTATGACAGCGTATTCTGACTACGTGTTCTATAGTTTGATTCCTTTAATTTGTTCAGTTGGATACGAGTTATTAGCGTTTGCGGTTATAATGCATACCTCTGGACTTCAAGGATGAATCCTGTGTCAACATCTGAAGTAATCCCTACAATGCACATTTCAAAGATGGTTTTCATGTAGTTACATACACTATGGACATGCTTTAGTTCAAATATATCGACTCCTCACTTATTTCAAACTACTTTAATTTGTATTTACCTTTATAAGGATATAAGCATAGCGTCTATTACCTCAAGATAAGATGAAGGAAATAAAAGCTTGCTTAAAAAAATTGTATGGCGGAGAAAAATTTGAATCATATCTCCTAATTTGGGTAAAAAAAAAATGGAAGATGATAACGTTGGTGTGCACCAATGAAACTTGCTTGAGCCATTGAAATCAACCTCTATAAGCAACACAATCAAGGATTGGTAATAACATGTATCAATTTCACCTTTTCATTACCTTAAGCTTCACGTTTGACTGAGCTTTTATAGTAAGTGTCAGGAGCTTTTCTATGTACAGGTCACCGGGCTGATAACAAGAACAAAACAAAGAATGAATAAAAATCCTTTGTAGTGGCTACTGGTTCTTGCTAGGAAACAAAGGCTCATTTTAGAGTAATATGCTTAGCTGCCAAGCCTCTGAGACTGACGGCGCCCTTTTCTTTTTTAAACCATTTAGTTGTCAAGGCTTGACAACTAGGCACTCGACTGTACAATGGATCACCAAGTAAATGAAATGATATTTCTGAGCTTACAGTGACTTTAGAGATGCAATCCTGATTAAACTCAAAGGGAAGAGCTGGTGAGTGTTGGACACAGAGGCTGCTTGGTTCATCAATAGCATCCCCACATATACTTATTTTATGACCTGCAGTAAAAAGAACATAATAATTAGAAATTACGCTTATTTATGAAAATACGTTACAAAGATTGTTAATTCATTAACTTTGTCTCAGCTGGATTCAGGCTGGTGGAGCAGTGCTAGAAAATGCAAGGAATGAAAATGGGGGAGGTGAAAAGGAGCCTGGGAAACCAGTATAAGATTGATGAAAAGCACATCACAAATGCACAACAGTCAACAACTTGCCTGTTTTCTGACCTTGTTGAACTGAACCTTTATTTCTGTAAAATATGATCCATCAAAAATAGTTAGCATTTTAAAAAAACCAAAATCTATAGAAACATTTTCCATTTTCTACCACATACTGTACACCTGTCCTGTCAATTCACAACCATCACAAAATTTAGTGTCTCTTATCAACGACAACTGCAAATCATCTCAATTAGGGCGGTAAAAGCCAGATAGGTAACACATTAACCACTTACAAAATGCAAAAGTAAAAATTGCAACTTCCAGTAATTACAATACAATATAAAAAGTTAACTATACAAATTGACATGCTCTTATTAAGCTAACGAACTTAGGTAATTCTTAAATTCAGCAAGAGACGTAATACCAGTATCAGGCATATTAAGAGTAGCTGATTGTAGTCTCTAGAAGTTCTTGGGAAAATTTGAACACGTCTCTTTAAGACTTTCCTGACTTTACAGACTTTACTTGACTCTACAGACTTTACTGCAAGTGCATCTCAATAAAAGGCAGTGAGAGTATGACCAGTTGGTTTCAACTCAAAAGATACCCATACCTCCAATATGATACAACAAGCTTTTTGCCAATGGCATACTCCTCTATACGAACATTGTCTCCCCATCGCTCAACTATCAACTGTTTTGCCTATTAAGTAGCAAAGAGAGAAGTGACTGAAGAAGTAAGTAATTATTACAGAAAGAACATGTATAAAATGGAATGTATGCAACAAACCTGAAAGTGAAGAACTTGCAACTGAAGAGAGAGACAAAATGAATCTGCAAACACATTGTTAAGGAACCAAACTGTGAGTGTACCAAGTCCAACTTAGTGAAAACATGCACTACTCATTAAAACTTGTGAGTAAACTTGAAAGGGCTTTTCACCCAGCAAGGAGGAAAAGCAAAATACTGAGTCAATCCATGCTAAAGAAACTAGGATACGTTCCAGTAGCTACATACATTACTGGCTTGTTTTACATAGAAGTAATGTTCCATCTATAATTTATACTTTTGACCAAAGAAATGAAGAGATAAGAAATGAAGACATCAAGATCCAATATATGTGCTTCCTTGTATCTATTATGTGCTAACATTGTCATGAATATGTATAACTAATTACAGTAGAGATACACGACATGTAACTTACACAGTTGCATAAGAAAGAATATGACCAAATAAAAAGAAGCAGGCAACTGAACAAAAATAGGAAGAATGTTCACAAGTTATAATAAAGGATACGTAAACATTTGTACAAGTCAACTAGTGGATTTTCCTCTGCAAACAGTCTTGACTGCACAAGCTGATGAATATATTGGGCCTGTGATAAAAGCCATAATGGTAAAGACAAATACAACTTCATCATTATGTACATCTACTGTATACAGTTTTGTGCTTAATGGGTAAAATTATCACTAATATTTATTAAAAAAAACCATAAAAATAAAAATGTATTTCCTGTAACACTAAAAATTTACCTGAAGGACATGAACAAGTGACTTCCCATCTGTTAACAAAAAAAATATCATACTTAAGATTTGAAATAAATCAGAAAAATCTGTCACTGTCGATAAAAAAATAGTTTACTAATACTTTCTACTATATTCAACAACCTTACCACCAGTTTCCATATCTTGAACCAAAAAGTCAATCGATAAAACCCTCCAAGGGATTGAAGAGTCATCACCCATGAGAGTTAACATCACCTGTAATGAAGGACATGATTAATGGTGCAAAGGAAGCTATCAGTCGCACAGAAATGAATTCAAAGTTTTTTGTAATGTATGTAACATATACTTATAATACCACAGCATAGGGCTTTCCAGGCCTAATACTAGGAAATTAGAAACAAAAATTGCAAATAAACATTGTGTTTAAAAATCCCAACTAGCAGGAAGCAGACCAGACTAGCAGTTGCCTATATACAAAGTGTAGCCAGAGAGTTGAAGTGAGGGCAAACAAGAAGAAATTCAGTGAGTGGCAGGGTGACAGGCTTGAACCTGGTATCCAATAGACATTACATTGTGACAACTACTCAGTACCTCAAATTCATGTTCCACTCTGAACTTTACTCTCCCATCAGCTGCAAGGTAATGAGAACAAATCCAATGACATGATCACCTTGCATTGAATTTCAGAACCAAAAATAATAGCAGATCATGTATGTGCGCTACAGCATTTGATACATGTGTATCTCATCAGCAGTTGCAAATCATGAAGTTGTTTTTGATCAACACAGGGAAAACGAATGGCTTGCATTCAGAGTATCTGCCAGAGAATATTTTATAAATAACATTTTGGGGAAAGAAGCCTTCTTTCCCTTTGTGACCCATTCTCCTAGAATTCTCCGACCCAAATACTCCAACCTTCCAAGGTGGGAATATAAACAATCTGACTTTAACCCTTTAACTCCTGGATCAAATTTGCAATTCACCTTACTGTCAACCATACAATTCTTACAATGTTAGTCCAGAGAATTTAGCATTAGATCAGCTAATTATCCCCAAATTGATATTTTTCTTTATTCTCAACATTTATTTGGTTGATATTGTATTGATATTGTAAGGAGAAATTCTGTCTTGGTCACTCATAGGAGTTAAAGGGTTAAAAGGGAAGGGAGAATATTAACAAACATTTCTACAAACTGTGCATCACATTTCAAGTCTTTTTCTTACCAATGATCATCTGACCCATCTCAGGTGGTAGTTTAGAAGTCACCAGTCTGTGTTGAATGACTTGATTTAGTCTTTGCAGTGTTTTTGTCTTTTCAACAGCAGTTATAGGGTCTGGAGGTACAATTTTATCCTGCAAGAAAAAAAAATATATTAAAAGTTACCCAGGTATTCTTTCAAAACATAACTCTCTATTCAATAATGTCAATTTGAAAAAAAAAGGAATATATAAACTTTTTCAGGACAGTTTCCAATCAACCAAAAATCATTTAATGCAAAGGTAAATGTATCTCTACTTCATTGATAATTCTAGCTCATTTCAGACATTCTTTCATTATACAACTACATTAAACTTCTGTTGGCTGGAGAAAAAATATTCGCTGTGCTCACCCTAATACATGTTGGAAGACGAGGATATGTCCCCCCAGTCAGGACATCCACTGCGGCTGGCAAACAGAAGGTGGGCAGTCTATAAAACACCAGGATAGTGAGCACATCAGTTTAAGGAAGATTTTTTTTTACACCATCCTCTAAGTTAGAGGGGAAGAGATACCATGACACATTGAAATGAAAATAAAATGATCATATCAGTCTTGATCTAAATTATTAATAAAGAAATGGAAAATAATATATATTTAAAATAATGATACATCAAAGTTATTAAATGAAAAGTAAATGGTAACAATTGCATCTTGGTAACATTGTCATGGCAACTTTTTCCTTCATTGGGTGCTTGCTTCTGGAACAAAATCCAAGTCACAAAAAGTAATTTTTCTTACCTTGCTTTTACAAGAGTTTCTCTGGACATTCTTGCCAGCATGTCTGCAGTGTCTACAAACAGCATAGACTGTTTGTCCAAAATAGTTGAGATTGCCTGATAGGAGTAAGAGTTTGGCAGGGTTAATACTATTTAATAAGGTTATCATCAATTCAGAGAAATGTGAAATGATATTGTAACAGTGGTTAGATATGAAGTACATTGTAATGTAATTCTTCTTGAATTGTTTGCAACATACAGTTGCATGCTAGTATAACATGTGGCAGTTGTTTGTTCTCTTGTGAACTTGTCTTGTAATGTTCAATTCACTTGCCTTGTCTTTGCATTCATTTGGTTAGTTTTGTTTTGTTTTCTTTAAATTACTCTCAGTGTGTTGTATATGATCTAAGGAGAAATTCCTTTTGTCACTTCTCCAAGTGAAAGGGTTAATATAATATACACATTTATTTATTTATTTAAATTTTATTTATTTATTTATTTATTTACACATAATCATAACATGTTAACAAGTAGACCAACAAGACATGACAACATTAACTAACCTGGCATTTGTCGACCCTTTCGGCACTTGCTGCCCATTTCACTAAAGCAAGCAGACGCACAAACTGCTGGCGTGTTTTACTGGCAAACTGCACAATTTCAATTTTTCTGCAAAAAATGGAAAATTGCAAGAGCTTCAATCACTTATTGTGGAATCCATGGAAAGAGACTACATTACCCATATCTCTAGTATTTTCTTTTTAACACATGACCCTTTATGTGGGTGTTTACTAACAGATTAAAATGATTTTCCAACTAAAAGTTGGAGTTTTTTTCTTTATTCCAGGTTCCTTACAGATCAAAGTCATTGAAAATACAAATAAACATAGTGTGAAATCATTTTGACCAGAAATCGTATTTAACTAAAACAGTATGCACATGTTACACATGTAGATTATATTCACAGCATACCTCTCTATATCAGATTTCCTTGGTAACCTGTAGAAACAAATATTGAGGTAACCGGGGTTAATGATAAGATGAAATAACACTAGTGTATTTCCTTTCTTTCTATATCATTAGTTCCATTGTTATTAATAATTATTCACCAAAGTGCAAGTGATTAGTCCTGAATATTTCCTAAGCTGGAAAGTGGCAAGGTAAATACCCACCACTTTCACCAACACTGAGGTGAATAATTGTTTTTGTATATATCACACAGGTACCAAAAAAATAGTTTACTTCTTTGAACATACCAAAAAAATGGTCAGAAAGTAAACTTTTGACGCATTATTTTGTCTCATCAGCTGCACAAAAGTGAACAGTACTTCCTATTCACTTCTGAAATAGCCACTCAGTGTGTGCAAAGAGCATTATTCACTTGTGTGGCATATCCCTAGGTAAAATTTCCGCACAGCCCCATACTACATTATGCATTCAGTTCTTGAATAGAGAAAACGATGACAGAAACAATACATTGCCATGGGAAAACAGATTCGTTTTACAATAGTATGGGGCTGTACGGAAACTTTACCTATTCCTATCATGGCCACTATTATTAGTATTGTTAATTTTACCATCATTATTGTCACTTGCTGTTTGATTGTGAATTAAATTCATAAATGCTACTTTTAACCCCTTCACTCCCAAGATTTGACTGGTGATTCTCCTTACTGTCTGCTATTTAATTTTTATGGTGTTTGTTTGGAGAACTTGACATTAGATCTACTGATTCTTCCCCAATTGATATTGTTCTTTATTCTCATCTTTTGTGTGCTTGATATTGTATTGATATGGTAGTCATTCATGGGTGTTAACCCTTTAACTCCCAAGATCTGATTGTTAATTCTCCCCTGTAGCTACTACACATTTCCTTGTAAATTAATTATGAGAACTTGGTGCTAGATCAAGATAGCAGCTTCTACCTGATAAGTTTGAATATTCTCATTACCTGTCAGTTGAAGAATGTATGGATGTTGTAGGGAGAAGTTTTATGCTAATCACTTCTGGGAGGTAAGGGGTTAAAGAGTTGAGAGAATTTAGATCAAGATGTGACACTTCTCGGGTCAAAAGGAATGAGGGATATAGAACTGATAAAATATCACAAAAGTTAGTTTCTCCAGGAATAGCTCTTTCAATTCAAACTATTCCTAACCCTAGTCTGTCAAAGTCACAGATATCAGGTGTCTCCATTGCAAGATCTCTGTTGCAAGGCCTTCTCAAAAGGACTTGTATCTCCTGTGCATGCATTTATAAACTAAAATGGAAACATGCAACAAAGCCCTAAAGAAGTAGATGCGAGACAATTTAAATGTAAACTTACAGTACATGTAAATGTACCGCACACATAATAATCGTGCGTGGTTCTAATAAGTTTAGAACTTCAAATTCATTTGACAACAATTCTGAACGAGTGACTCTGGAATCTTAAGATTCTGCATAGGATTTTAGATTGAAGAGAACTTATAAACGTAGACTCTAAGGAAAGATACGAGAAAAATGCTTATAAACAGACTTCAAAATTCTTGCAAACGCATTTCGAAGACATATCGACAAATATAATTATCCTGTACTTCCTTTATATGGTCAGATGACAATATTTAACCTGCAGATCAGAGATTCACCGGTAAAAAAATTCTCAAACCTTCTATATATACTTGAAAGTTAAATTTAAAGTGTAAAATTCCCAACAAATTAACGAGAGCTAAAAGACTTAAAAAATTTGTACCGCGAATACCCGGTCGGAAAATAGAATTCCTTCCTGGATGCACAGTTTTTTAATCACGCTAAAAATCAAAAAGGGGTAATTGCATCATCCTGAATACTCACAGTTCTGACAGCACTGTTAGATCATGATAAGTCTTCTGTAGAAGGAAATCAACCAACATAGAAAGATTGATTTTTGTGCCACTGTTGGCAGAGACTTCCATAGGCGCCATGTTTGCGCGTATGCCTATGCTCGCTGGCTCGTTCTCATAAACAAAATATGCGCGGCGCTGTTACATGTAGTTCCGTCTTCAACATGGCGATTCGGCCAGTCAGGTGATTCGACTGACCAATTGATCTTGTTTCACAATGGAGTCTTGATGAGTTTGCACGACTGGAATGGCCAGTAAAGAAAGTCTTGGAAGAGTGAGACATTTTGATCTTAGTTCAAAACAGGTTCGTGTACATTTTTCTCTACAGGTATATAATTTTATTCTTCAGTAGTTAGGAAGTCTCCTGCGAAGCTTCAAGTGGTGCAACCTAAGCCATGCGTTCTCCAAGTTATACAATATTTGTTTATCTTGATCGAATTGCAACCACGCAAAAATGCAATATCTTATTTTCATCTTCGAAGCCTTCTTTCTGTTGTTCTTGGCCTTGTCATCGTTGCCCGTTCGTATCAGTTTTGCAACAATTATAATAAACATTTAAAATTATTATTAATCTTGTGGGTGAATTGAAATAAGGTCAATTTGAATTTCGAACGCGGATATCTGCTAAGCCCCCCGATTAAATCAATCAACTGTCCAAATACCGATATCTAAATATTTTGTTTTAAGAAGTTCGAAACGCGTGTAATATCGCAACTCTCTAAAAATTTCTTGTGATATTTTTGTTCCATATTTGGCACACTGTACGTGTCTACGAATCTTGATTTAGCTATTCCTCTACCTTACAGCTGCGACTACGACACCTAAGAAGCATCTCTGTTCGAAAAATAATTCCAAAGTTTTCCATTTTTGGAGATGATTTGCTGGACTGCCTGCTGGAAACATACTTCACTTTGCATAGTGTTGAAGGAAATCAGAAAGGTTTTTGTTTTTAGAATAGTTGTTTAATTCTTATTGCTTGTGTGTTCGAATTTTTATGTTTAACCAGGTGAGAGTCTCCAGTTTGCCATACCCTCCTCCTTCACCTTGCACACCCATACAGTCATGTAACTCTCATCTCCTGTTATTTATTGCAGAATGTAGCAGATTGTTAACTATTGAATGTTACTTTTTCAGATTTCTCACCCACGTCCTGCTGTCAAGAAGGTTCCATTTCTTACCCTTTCTTTTCCTTTTCCTGGGCACCTTTGCCCCATTCTGTATATTGCCTCAACTTTCCTCAAAATGAAACTCTTCTCCTTTAATTTTTGTGTACATAAAGGTCAAATTTTTGCCCAAAATCCTTATGCTTTTTGTTTGTTTCTTGCATAGCTATCTATACCAGTGAGAAAATCAAGTATTCACTGGTGAGTAATATGACTGTCATTCATTCCCTCCCACAGCCAGTTTCCTCCTCATATTTAGTTTGGTTTGTTAGATTTGCAGTCCATACAATCACTTGGTCTTTGTTTTTTAAGTTAGCTTGATTATTATTATAATTTCTATTCGTAATGTTTTATTCACAAATTAGAATCCGACATGGGCTAGTTTTGAGCCATCTTCATGGAAAGATCAACAATCAGGTGCTGTGTCTTGTATCCTTTTTTCTGAAAACCTTCACTCTAGTGATCAGCATACATTGTAGAGCCTGTTTAGTTTTTTGTGTGTAGCTCTACATGGTGAAGTTATTTTTTCCTTGATCAAAATGTCAGCTGTCATTGTTAGAGTATGGGGAGGTCAAAAAGACACATTTCAACTTATTATTGAGTGGAAGGTTCATTTGCCATTCCTGCAATACCTTGGAGAACAGGTAAATTGATAACAGTGTGTATGATTTGAAAGAAAAACATTTTGTCAACTTAGTATGTCTTCTTTATATCATGATTAGTGTTAATTATTGGTGATTTTTTCAGGCAGAACACTCAACACTCACAGTGACCCTTGATAAGGAGCAAATTGGGTAACTCCCGATGAGCAGTCTGGGAGACTTGACTAAAAGCTAGAGGGCGGGGGGGGGGGGGGGGGGGGGGGGGGTGTCCAGCTATAGTCTGGCATTTTGTCAAGGAGGAGTAGATACATGTATTCCCTCCTAGACTCTTCATGTTATAAAGAAATACATGTCAGAAAAAAAAAAAAAAAGGGATAGTCAATGACAATTACAGGCCCCTTGGCCACTGAAGCAGAACCTTTTGATTTAACTCATGACAATGCTATAATTTGATGAACTTTTCAGGTGAAGTCCAGCAAATATGGACAGAACACAGTTATCTTTGGTCTCATTGATGGGTATTACAGTGTACCTAACTGCCTGCCAAAAGAAGAGGTAAGTTGGAATAGATGATCTCTCAGCACTTGAATTCTATTAGAACACAAATTTTGCAATAATTCTGTTAGACTGCACATAAAATCACAAGAGTTTGTGATTTTTTAAGACTGCAGGTAGTGGTGAAATTGCAGCTGTGAAAAGAAAAGATGTTATTAGAGTTGATGTGGACCAGGTATGTGAGCAACACATGTAGTAAGTTTGACAACTGAAGACTCTATCAATTGAGATCAGGTGGAAGGTACAGTTACCAAATTGTTAATATGGCATCACCAGAATGAAGGATCATTATCTGTGACATGACAGGATCTTTGTGAAGAGTTTCTGGCAATAAAATTTTGTTTTCATTACTTTGAGTGGTTCATATCAGTTACCTATGTAGACTTTACTGACAATAATCCTTTTCTGTCAATTACTAACATTAGCCAGAATTGGTTGATGACATGCCTTAACTACATTGAAAGCCACACAGTGTTTTTGCATGTATTCATAGGGTTTTTCTTTTCATAGGTTCAAACGTCTTGTAAACTGTCATCTATTCAAAGGTATGTCCTTATTTAAACATGTATTTCAAAGTTTGTGTAGCATGGTTTGTTTAATATGGTATATGTGCATTAATTTGAAGGCCATCTTGATTCTTCTCCTCAGACTACAGACAGTACAAAAGGCTATTCTGCAGTCTCAACTGTCAGTCAGGGATGTGCGGCAGGCCATCCTATGCAAAGTTGAATCTGACATCAAGTCTACTTCACAGGTTTGTATTAAAGTTTGGGCACAAATTTCCAGATAATTTCCAATACAGGAAAAAGATGTTGTACTATATATTTTTTTATTTTAATGGAATGGTGTTCTGTATGACAGTAGTGGACTCAGCATGCTTTCTGCCAAGGAGATCCTTTTAAAACCAAATTGTCAATTTTTTTAATCAGTTGTAATTAAAACTCCTTTCCTTTTTGTTACAGCTATCAGAAGAGGAGATGCTGAAGTTGAAGATCAAACTTTTAAGAGAGGAGTGCTTATTAAAACAGAAACTCTTGTTGAAAGGTGTTTATGTACATGTAGCTTTCTCAAATAAATGTTTCTGACATTTTTATAAAAAGGGAACTTTATACATTTTTGTCAACTAAGTAATATTTTTTGCAAATTGTAGAAGGGGCAGAGGAGAAGAGTGTCTCTGAAAAACTGAAGGAAAGAGGTGAGTAATGTTTAAATTTCCAACAAAAAAGTGACTTTATTTGATCCATATCCGTGGATATCTTTGCCCTCTATCCTAGTAACCATTAGTGGTAAGTCCAGAGGGAGGGTCAGGGGAGTTTGGAGCTGATTACCCATCAGACCTGCAGGTAGTTAACTTCTTGTCTGATGCAAAAATTCTGGCAAGTCGCGTATTGCAACTCGACTACGTATGACGTGTAACTGCGAGTGAAAGGTTGGTTGAGAAGTTATTTGCAGTGGAAAACAATTCTATGTTTTTCAATCAAAGTTTAGATT